GTCATCTTATTCACTTCCTCTCTCCTCCTCTTCTTCTCCCTCTTCATTCTCAGCTTCCATGCTAACTTTTGTTCGTCTTCCCTCTCTCTTCGTTCCATCGGGTCTGTCATGGCTGCAAGCTCAGCGGCCAGCGCAGCCTTCTCATCCTTAGTCACATATGACTCCGCCTCCTCGTCTTCCCCCAACGATAAATTAGCGACCCACTCGCTGATCTTCTTCTCCAGCTCAGTATCTGTCTCCACTTCATCGTGTCACCACTGCTCCCTTCTCCACTCTCAATTCTCATTCTCTCTTTCTCTTTTTCTGCTGCCGCTTCTGCTTCAGCAACCTTCTTTCTTCCTCCTCCTGTTGTACCCTCTTCATCTCCTCCTCCAACCTCTTCATCTTCGCCGCCTGCTCATTAGCTTCGCCTGCTTCTCGCGCTCTTTCCTCTCCTTGTTCTCTTTCACTAAGGCGGCCATCTTTGCTTGCTGCTTAGGGGTGTAGGGACTAGTCTCCTTCCAACTACGGGTCTCGACCATGCTGATAAGTGTACAACCGGGTTAGTGATTCCAAACCTCACCACGTAGACTTTGACCCCTGACTGACAAACCTATAGACTCAATCTAAGACTGCAAAATCCTGACAAGGACCCTGTCAACTATGGTCTCTAGCCTAGACCTATGCTATGGCTATCACTCCTGAACCAGTGGCTGATCAGGAGGCATTTAAAGAGATCCCCCGTAACTCCTCAAGAATTCTTTAACGTCGCAGACAGGACGACGTGATCAGCTTGGTTCTGCCTGTGCTTTCAGCCCACAACTTAGCCTTTCCGGCCTACTGTGCCACACCGAGCAGCCCGCCGGTCTGTACCGGTCCTTGGGAGGGTTTGACCTCCGGGACAGTCGAGTCGTCAGACACAGATCCTCAGCCTTACTTGGTCCAAAAGGGGAGTGGTTCAAACAGGCCCTCAACACTTAAAGACGGCCTCCGTTTCAGCCTGCAGCTCAAAGTTCAAACCCTCTACACTGAAACTGAGCAGACCTGCCGGACAGTACCGGTCATTGGGCTAGACGAGTTGTTTAACGAGCGCTCGCCGCTCATGCCCAGGTCTCCAGATACCAGAGTAGAGATTGGTCCTACTAAGTCTCGTGCAGGTTTGGCAGCAAGGCCCTATCCTTCATCCACAGAGTTCTATGACCTAGGACAGAAGAGACTCAATGCAGAAAGAATAGACAGACAGACTATACTCAGCAAGTACCAAGGGGTATGTGCACATCCATAGGGCAAGTGGCAGGCTAAGGGCTTGGCGAGATGTTACCAACTGCAGCTTGGTCAAAGTCTTGGTCAACAGTCTTGGTCAACGCCGGTCAACTCTGCGGTCAACCCTCAGTCAACCCCCGGTCAACTCTGGTAACGCTGGTCAACACCCTCGGTCAACCCTCTCGGTCAATTCCCCGGTCAGCTATGGCTGCCGGCTCTTCTTCCCCGCCGATCCCCTTCTTCTTCTCTACCTCCCTCGCCTCCTTTCCCCCGCTGTCTTCTTCCTCCTCTTTTTTTTTTTTTTTTTTTTTTTTTTTTGATCGGCCTCCTCTTCACCTCTTGGCTATGGCCACTCCTTCTTCCTCCTCAGTCTCTCCCCTTCTGTCCTTCTCCCTCCTACTTCGTCACTCCGTGGTACAGGCTTTGCGGCTATGGCCGCTGTCTTTCTCCTTCGTGGACTGCGCAGCAACTTCACAGGTACGTAACAGGCAATCTTGTATCGCTCATCTCTCTCTCTCTCTCTCTCTCTCTCTCTCTCTCTCTCTCTCTCTCTCTCTCTCTCTCTCTCTCTCTCGTCGTAGCAGTATCTTCAGCGCAGCAGGTACGTGTAACCCAATCTTNTTTGTCGGCCTCCTCTTCACCTCTTAGCTATGGCCGCTTCCTCTCCCTTCTCGGTCTCTCCCCTTCTGTCCTTCTCCCTCCTACGTCGTTACTCCGTGGTACCGGCTCTGCGGCTATGGCCGCTGTCTTTCTTCTTCGTGGACTGCGCGGCAACTTCACAGGTACGTAACAGCCAATCTTGTATCTCTCATCTCTCTCTCTCTCTCTCTCTCTCTCTCTCTCTCTCTCTCTCTCTCTCTCTCTCTCTCTCTCTCTCTCTCTCTCTCTCACTCTCTATGTCTTCTTCTCCGTCGTGGTCTTCTTGCAGGTGCGCGGCGGCTTCTTCGTCCTCCGGTCCGCTATGGCGGACTATCTCCTTTGGCGGCCACCTCGGCTATGGCGCATCAGGCCCTGCATACGACGGCGCGCATGGAATAGCGGGTACCAGCTCCGATACCAATGCAATCAGACTCGTTCTCAAACACACCTTTCATGCATGTAAACAGCAACGCAGCATACTGGCGACATGCGCCCACCCAGAACTCAGAGATATGGCTTTCAGACACGAGTCCACTCTCAAATGGCTCAGGCGACTTCAGCGCCCAAACATCTCACTGTTCACATACACTGGATCACCCTGGATATCCCACACGCATCACCCTAACACTCGAACACACACACACACTCACTACTAACTACAGCTATGGCAGCTATCGCTGCATCTAACCTATCGCTATGCTAGCTCCCTCTCTCTTGCCCACTGCGTCCTCCAGGCTCATCTGCAGACCTCCTTGCAAAAGTTGTTGTGGCAGCGCTTCCGCATGACTCCCGCAGGAATGAATGAATGGCTGGGCGCTGCCTCTTGATTTATACTTCAGAAACTCGTTGGTCTGCCCTTTGCCATCAGCCCTTGGTGCTCACAGTCCCCCTGTGGTACTTGCTGGACCGGACTGGGACTGACTGGACCTTCCGCTGACTGACTGTGGACTCACCGCTATCCTACCGACGTTGTACTGCTGTTGCACTGCGGTTTAGTCCACGACTTGCCTCACCACTTGACCACTTGCCCACTTGCCTACCTTCTAGAAGGTCTACAGCTAAGCTTCCGGAACTCACTAAGACTCCTACGCTATAGACCTACAGATCGAACCCCTGCTGCCTATAGWCCTACGACAGGCCTACCAACTGCCTACGAATACACAGGTCACAGGTTCAATTCTCGGGGTCTACACAGATACTGTACATGGGTAGGGTGAGGTCTAGGGATCGAACCCTGGGTACTGCATCCGCTATTGCTAAAAGGTGAAAACCGTTTCACAATGGTGTATCACTGTGTGACACAACCCTGTCAAGATCCACTGTGTGATTCACAACCAGTTAAGGCACCACACAGTGGATCTTGACAGGGTTGTGTCACACACACACACACAGACACACACACACACACACACACACACACACAAAGAGAGAGAGAGAGAGAGAGAGAGAGAGAGAGAGAGACAGACAGACAGACAGACAGACAGACAGACAGAGAGGAGGAGGGGGGGGCGGGGGGGGGGGAAGTGCATTTGACACTTGGGTGGGAGAAAGCTGTAACAGCAATCGGTCATATTACGCTGCTGACCGCATTTCAGGACTTCATTCAGCCGAATATCTGCACTGCATTCGGTCATATTATTGCAAACTCAAGTTTGACTCATGGTTGAGCAAAAATGTGACTGAATGTAGTGCAAAACTGCGGCCCGATGTATCCCAAACTTAACATCTGTGGATTGCGCAGGTGGTCCACATCACTGCTTTGCAACTATACCCGTCAATATAATTACCACCAGAGTTCTACTGAATGGAAGTCCTATCATATGTGATAGGACAACAAGTTCCGTCCAGTGAACCCCACTCGCCCTCAGAAGGGAATGCCTCCTCCCGCCCCCTAACTCTGCATTTTCATCAGCGAAGCGAACGGCGGTCATTAGTACAACTTGACACTCTGATGGGGTCAGAAGAGCATTGAAAATCATTGCTGACACTCTTTAATACTTCGTAATCCTGTCCATGCCATGCTAATGATGCTATCAGCAGAGATTCACCATTGCTATGCGACATTAACGAGTAGAATACTCAGGATGTTTTTTATTTTGTTTTCTTTTTTTTTTCCTCAACGCATTTCATCCTTGTGCGCAGGGGCTGTGCTTTATCTTCTCAGTATCGTTCCAATTTCAATGGATGAATCCGACCTGAAGGGTGGTCAAGTACTTGGGGCTAATATCTTCGAGAAAACATTTTGTCTCTCCTTTCTCTGACATTTTCTTAAAAGAGATGGAGAAGACGACAACAAAAGGGGGTTGTGACAGTCTGAGACTGTTTCATCAAGTTTCAGCAACTCATCAGGAGGCTGAACCCTCTACAGTCTGTCGTCATGCATAACTGCCCCCTCTACAGTAAGCCCCCTCTACAGTCAGCCCCCTCCACAGTCTGTCCTCATGCATAACTGCCCCCTCTTCAGTCTGTCCCCATACATAACTGCCCCCTCTACAGTCAACCCCCTCCACAGTCTGTCCTCATACATAATTGCCCCCCTCTTCAGTCTGTCCTCATACATAACTGCCCCCTCTTCAGCCTGTCCCCTCTACAGTCTGCCCTTCTACAGTCTGTCATACATAACTGCCCCCTCTTAAGTCTGTCCTCATACATAACTGCCCCCTCTTCGGTCTGTCCTCATACATAACTGCCCCCTCTTCAGTCTGTCCCCTCTACAGTCTGTCCTCATACATAACTTCCCCCTCTACTGGAAGAGAGGGAGAAGAGACAACAGACAAGGCGCTATGCCAGGGAGGGAGAAGAGACAACAGACAAGGGGCTATGACAGACTATCTTGTTGGAGTTTCACCAACTGACTCATCAGAAGGCTGAACCCTCTACAGTCTACAGACTCTTCTAGCCAATGATACTGTAAGTGATAACCCCAGCTGCTATGATAAAGCATCAAAGATTGTCCTGCTCACAGGACTCCAGCATATACGTGCACTTACATACATCATGCAGTCAAACCGATTTACACAATTCTACAGGGATTCATTTCATTCCTCTGTCGCCTCAACCGTCTCTGCAGAGCTTCTCTTGTTGTGACTGCTTACACGGGAGTGAGAGTAGTAATTGGTATAGTACAAGCTTCCAGTAGTACATGAACATAGTGGAGTCACAGTTGTATTACAGATCCTTCTTCTCCCCCTCCCCCCCCCCACCTCCTTCCCCCCTCCTATTTACTGCTTCACTGTTGTCAGTAGTCCCGCAAGCTATGTACCACCTATTGAAATTGGAACAAAATGAGAGTCCTACTGACTCTCTGGTCCAGCGATTTGTGGTCCCGACGTCAGGCTGCTGTATCGGTCTACGACTGTGCGATGTCCATTGAACATAATCTCCATATTCAATTTGATTTTTCGACACCCTCACAAGGAAGCCCGTTCAAAGCTTCAAGCCACTAGACATCTCAGAGTCTGTCTTTCACCTCCAAATCTCTCCCGTCTCTGTATAGCTTCTCTTCTCTTGTGAAACTGCTGACACGAGAGTTTGAGTACTAATTGGTATAATTATAATAGTATACAAGCAAGCTTCGAGCACATGAACATACACCGGAGTCGCAGTCAAACTCTTCTTCACCTAAAAGACTTTATCCACCTCATCGTTCTTCATGATCGCATCATCGCAACACTCAATTATCTCCCAACTTCCAAAGTACATTCACACCTCAAAGTTTCTCGTTCACCTCTGCTGCCTCTGCGACGACTACCTTGAGCGCAACTCCCTCCAGCACAGGAAGAATTCCTACACCTTCTTCCATCATGTTAGGCCGATTGCGTCTATCTAGACTGACACACCTTAACCCCAACTTCGCCACTTCCTTTGCCAGCTCAACATCCCAAGCCCCTGCACTGTGGTCCAAGGCTGTTTCAAAAGCCGCTGCATCCTCCTCCTCCTCCATAGCGCCTTGGATTACACCGATTGCGCTCCCAAACTTTCCAGTCAGCATCTCCAAAATGGTGACACCAAGCGCATACACATCAGTCTTCTCGTCGAACACCCGCGACTGCCACAATTCTGGGGCCACATACTGGGCATTGGCTTGTAGGAACAGGAATGTGGAATTTGAGCCCTCGTCCTCGGATCCTTTTGTTGACTTTTGTGTGACCCGTTTTTCTGGGACGAGCAGCGCCTGATCGACATCACCGATCTTGGCCACAAAGTTGCCATCCACAAAAATGTTTTCTGGCTTGATGGCACGGAGGATGATGGGACCACCGTTCGCCAATCGACTCGAATGAAGGAAGTGGACCGCTCTGGCAACCTCCACCATTATTCGAAAGCGAACGTGCGAGGGCAGCAATCCTGTTCTGGGATTCTCCACATTGCCAATCCATTCCTTCACGCTTCCGTTCGGCGTGTGCTCGAACACGAGACAGCCTCCTTCGTAGCACACTCCCAAGAGCGTTAATAAATGGGGGTGCTGTAGTGTGAGCAAAATATCCACCACCTCTGTCTTAAACTTGGCAGGGTGCATCTCCTGCATACATGACAAGGTCCCCGATTTCTTTACCAAAACGAGTGTACCATCACATAGTTTCCCTCTGTAAAGACACGATCCCTCACGGCTGCCTATGCCGCGCTTGTTCTCTGGATCGAAGTTGTTCGTTGCACCCTGGACCTCTCTCAACGAATATTCTCGAAGCGGCTCTTGCAGAGAAAGCTCTTCGGCAAACCTTTGCGCCAGTTTCTCGATCCTTTTGTCAGATTTCTCTAATTTCTCGAGGAGTTCGGCTCTCTCGCACTCGAGGTTTTCACTCCTCAGCACCGATCTTTCAAGCTTTTCTACAGCAAGCTCCATCTTGCTCTCCAGGTTCTCGATCCTTTTGTCAGATTTATCTAGTCCCTTAAGCAGTTCAGCTCTCTCACACTCCAGCTGCTCAACCCTCAGCATTGTCATTTCAAGCTTCTTCTCCACAACAGTCTTTAGCTCTTCAGCTCCTGTTTCAGACTTGTCCGCCTCCGTCCCCAGGCCCTGGGGCTGCTGCCTCTCCTTTTGGGCCTTCTCATTTGGCTGATGATTGGCTCTGAACTCCTCGATCACTTTCTCGCACTGTAGCTTTGACATCTCAAGCTTGCCGAGAAGTGCGGCCCTTTCGTCCTTCATCCTCGTTCCTTCCGCCTCCAGGGTCTGCACCACTGCCTTCAAACCGTTCACTACCAACTCCAGCGCCAGCACCCTCTCTGCTTGGGCTCTCATCTCCTCCTGATGCTGGGTTCTCAAGTCATCGATAATTTCACTCCTGCACTTCAGTTTCATTTTGCTTACAACACCTCTGATTTTTGTCTTGAGCTCGAGCTCGGACCTCTCAAGCTTCTCTAGAAGTGCAGCCCTCTCATCCTTTACGCTCGTTCCTTCTGCCTCCAGGCTCTGTACCGCTGCCTTCAAACCGCTCACCGCCAACTCCAGCTTCACCACCCTCTCTGCTTGAGTTCTCTCCTCCTCCTTATGCTGAGCTCTCAAGTCGTCAATAATTTCGCTCTGACGCTTGAGTTCCATTCCCACTACAACATTTCTGATTTTTGTCTCGAGGTCCAGCTTGGCATGGGCTGCTTCCTTTTCCCGCTCCTCCATCCTCGTCTCCGACACCCATGTTTTTCTTCCTCCCTTTACCTCCATCACAGAGAACGTTTCCAAACCACCAACAATGAGCAGATCCGAGTTTTTGCAGAGAGCAATGCCTGTAAGAAAAGTGGATTCGCAGATATACGATGCCACCAGATGATAGTCCAGCTCACTCCATACTCTAATCTCCCCATCTCCTGATGCGCTAAAAAGGTAAGGCAATCGTGGATGCAGAAAGGCTGACGTGAAACCCGCTGAATGCCCCGTCAGTTCGGCAAGGCAAACTCCTCTTCTAAAATCGAAGACCCTTGCTACGCCTGGAGTTGTGGAATTTGCACAGTGTGCTGCAATCATCAGAGACCTTTTCGAGAATCGGCCACAGAATTTGATACTTTTCACAATAGATCGACGTTCAGTGTAGAACGTCCGAATGATGGACATGCTGTCCACATCCCATATCTTGATAGTGTAATCGTATCCTGAGCTTGCAAAGATACCCGACTCTATTGGATGAAATGCCACTGCAGTCACCCCTTCGCAATGATGTCCGAGTTGAATCTCCTCCCAATTCTGGCGCCAGTGTAGTAAAATGACAGCTGAGCCGTTAGAGGTCAGTATGTAGGGTAAGCTCTCGTGGACAGCCATGGATCCATACACACTTGCAGAATCCGGTGATTGCTCTACGCGTGTTACGTGTTGCCAGTTTGAAGATTTCATTTCATAGATGTCAAAGCGTCTGCGAGAGTAATCCTGCACCACAAACCAGTCTCTCTGCATCAGAAATTTTGCTTCGCCAACTCTCTCCTGAACTTCCCCGGAGGCGACCTGTGTCCCATCTTCGTAGTTCCAGACTTGGAGTAGGGAACAACCGGTACGTGTGCATAGAACCCATGGCTCATGAGGGTGCACATCAATCTGCACCATAGGCGCCCATGAAGAGTCAGGCAAGGTTATATCAAGTTTGCGCAGCAGCTGAGGCCCTGTTTCCGTTTCCCCGCATTCATTACCATCAGCCATCCTCACCGAGGGAGCACCACGCCCTGCTCTGCCACTGCTACTACTACTCAGCGTGCTCGTGAAGCATGCTGCCCCTGCGCTACTACCACACCGCTATTCGCCGTACTGAGCTCAGGGCGCTGCGCTCCCGCGTTGCACTTCAGTTGCCTTAGAGACGCGGCTGTGTGAACACCTTGCCGGCATATACTGTTTTTCTGCAGGGCGCTTTCTGGACAAAACCAGAGGCAAATTCCAAAAAATAATCACGACATTGGGCCTCGCTCCACTACTCTCGAAATGTGCAAAACGAGAGTGAATTTTCCGTTAGAACATGGAAAGATACATCGGCATGATTTTTGTCTTTTGTGCATTTCACAAGCAGTGGAGCGAGGCCCATTGTCCCAAAAAAGCCAAATTTGCATTTCTCGGCACAAGTCTTGGGCACCATTAATTTAAAACCAGATTTTATGAGATGATATCTTTAATTTAAAACCAGATTTTATGAGATGATTGCTGTTCATTTAAAGCTTACTCCTAGCTTTTCAATAAGGATTCAAGGCATACTCAGCGAAGTCAGCGTTACTCACAGTAAGGATTGATTTCCTGGACGTATCTGGCCGCAATTACAGCCCGACTTGAATGTATCTGACTGCAATAATTATGCCCAGAGCTAATTCGAAAAACAAATCCCAGCCTGCATAATATATATGCCCTAAAGAATGAATCAACGTGGGCTCTCTTTCATTCTTTTCTGAGAGGGGGGGGATTGCAGAAATACCCCTTTAACAATGGTTCCAGCACTTCACAACAAACTTTCAATGCATGCAGAAATAGATAGATACCCTTTTTCGATTGCAACGATGCCCTACCAACTTCTTTCATGGAATTGCAGAAATACCCTTTTTGATGACAAGAATGCCCCTTTTCACCTGCTGTCTTTGGCGAAAGAAACAAGCAAGCAAATTCTGGTAATCCAGTCATTACGAGTTTAAATTTTTAATCCTAACGGAATCGGGTATACATACCAGATACAAATCAGATACAACCAAGATGTATACATATCAGACCCCGAATCACATACCACCAAGATACATATAATAATAAAAAATAACGTTGGGCCTTCTCTTTCGTATACAGCACAGCAAACAGAGGGTTCCAGCCTTGTAATTCAGACACTACTGGAGCAGGGGCAAACTGCCACCCGCCAGACAGATTTAATATTTTTTTAATTTAGTAATGGTAATACTGGTCATCATTTTTTTTATTATTATATACAGTGCGAGGATCAGGGTCCTCGGTAGGCCTATGGGGCCCTGTTTACAGCATTGCCCGCCCTAAGTGAAGGCGGAGGTGCCCGCCCTAAGTGAAGGCGGGCCTGACATATCGCAAGAGGCCCTCGACTGTCAATTTCATATTTGGGGTCCAGGCAGTTACAACATGCCAGTTGGTTGAGAGAAACTCAGGCCGGGCAACAAAGACATTTTCAAGCCCTTCCGGGCTTTTCCAAAGAATGCAGGCCCTGGGCGTGATTCGCAGCCTCATACAGAGACAGTTGGGCGCCCAACCGAATGAGGCCCAGCAGCCCAGTAGCTGCTGTACACAGGCAGCCTCCTGGGGCCTTCCGGAAGCTTCTGGGCCCAGGCCAGTGCAGCCAGGCTGCGCGAGCAGGCCAGCTCTTTCCTCCAATGGCAGCCTCATTCAGGCACTTGCATGCTAGCGGCAGCGCTGCTGGAGCAAGAGCTCGCGGCTGCTGGCTGGCGCTGAGAGGCGAGGTGCAGCACGTGCGGTCGTGCAGGGAAGAAGGGTGCTGCTGAGGGCAGCGCCATAGCCCAGCCACCATAGCTGGTGGGCTTGGTCTACATTGAGACGCAGCGGTGGTCTTCGGGTATGAGAGAGGACAGACGTGGGAGGAAAGTCAGGGGATAGGTGAAGGATGATGATGATGATGATGATGTGAGGGCACTTACCTTGTATTGGCGATGGTCTGCATGGGCGACATCTTCAAGTACTTCGGGCTGCTGCTGATGTCAACAGTTGCATTGTCAATTAGTAGGCTGTAGTAGCTGTGTTAGGAGTAGGCTGGGCACTGAGCGCTAAGTAGGAGAGTGAAGGGACTGGACTCTTGTGTTGATGAGGAGAGAGTATGCTCTCCATGACATTGGTTTTCAGTACTACGAACCTCCATTGGTGTACAATGCTCCTCTCTGGACACGGTGTGACTATCTGGCTTTCAATGTGATGGTGTAATCTGGAATTGTCATCTCGCTGTTGCTTATTTTCCTTGCAACAGAGTCAGTTCGGCTTAATATTCACAGCGGGTAGGAGCCGGCCCATGAAATGTACACAGAAAGCATATGGCCAGCAGACCTGAGGGATGAAAACATAGGCAGCACCTAGTCCCAGAGATGTACATAGTGAAATTTGATTCAGATGTACCTGGGCAGACCTGAGGGATGAAAACATAGGCAGCACCAGATGTACCTGGGCAGACCCGAGGGATGAAAACAGATCTGATTCTACCGGATAAGTACATAGTCCACCATGATCAAGATACTTGCAGCAAGTACCCCCGAAATTTGAATCGAACGGACAAAAAGTGATATCTGTAGAATCCCCAAATTTCGAATCGAACGGACAAGAAGTGATATCTGTAGAATCCACTGGGACTGATTAAGGACCTGATTATACACGTCTAAAAAATGTTTAAAAATCCTAGAAAGTAGTAGAAAGTTACTCGAAACCGCATAAAATGTTTTTAAATCCTAGAAAGTAGTAGAAAGTTAGTAGAAAGTTAGTAGAAACCGCATTATTAGAGTAACCTTTTTTTCTTCTGTTTCTTTTTCTTTTTCAATTTTTAAAGAGCATCCTGTGAATTCATTATGTGATGGAGCCATTGGCTGGAACAGAACTTTTATTTTATTTTTTATTTTATTTTTTTCAAAATGCAAGTAAATGGCAAACTCCACTATGACTAATCCTAGACAGGCACTTTCTGGGACTACAACAAATGGGAAACCCGTTTAGGACCAACTAATCGGGCAGAAACCCTTTTATAGTGAAAGGTGAAATTGTGAGGATTGAGCCCTCAAGAAGGGGCCTTGCCATGATGTACATGTTCTGGGCTAAGGCCCTAGCAAGCCTCGTGCCCGCCCTAAGTGAAGGCGGGCCAGCAAATCAACAAGAGCCCTCTGCGCAAACATTTCACGAAGTGGGGTCCATACAGTTGCAGCACGCCAGTTGGTTGGAGTGCACCGAGTCTCGGATCTCTGCAAATGTGGAAATCCCAGGGCCCCTGAGTTGGTTAGGCCCTGGGCACATAAACGTGAGGCCNTGGAAATCCCAGGGCCCCTGAGTTGGTTAGGCCCTGGGCACATAAACGTGAGGCCGACAATGCATGCTGGATATAGAGGCCGAAAATGCCAATGGTAAATCGGCCCACTATCTGAATCTGGCCGCAGGCCTTGATGAAAGAGGCGCAACTGCATCTCCCGGGCCCCAACTGCATCGGGCCTGGGTTCAGGTACTGGGGCCCAGACGCAGGCTGAAGGGAGGCCACCCACACACAACACTGGCATATAGGCAAGCAAGGCGAGTGGGCAGGGATCTTGGCCATTGCGGGCAATGCCGGCACGCTGCGCTAATGCGAGCTGCTGCGCTGCGCTAGGCTGAGGTGCGAGACAGGCAGGCGCTAGGCAGTAGGGCGCTGCCTGTACATAGGGCGCTGGCGGCCATAGCCGGGCTGCCCGAGGGCGCATGGGAGGTGAGGGCGATGGTGGTTCTTCGGAGGTGAAGGGCGCTGTGTGGGATAACAAGGGAGAGTGTGGGTGAAGAAGGAGACGTACCTGGTGGAGGAGGGAGGTCGGCATTGGTGTTGACATCATCACTCGCTGGTCGTCAAGTTGTCTGGTTGCTTTCACACTGTAGTTGTAGTGATAGGCTGTAGAGTAGGTAGGGCGCCTGGCGCTATTCAAGAGAGAGAGCTACATTGGGTTATACTGTTGGTGTTGCCCTGTTGGGCTTGGACATTGACTCACGATTCTTCTGTATCGTTCTCAAATGGATGGTTACTCGGTTCCATTGTGCTATCTGCTCTTGCTTTGACTACTTGGACTTCAGTGTGATTTTGCAATCTGGATTTCTGTGCTTCGTCCATATTCATGTTCCTTGCATTTTGGTATCAGAGCTGGTTTGATTCGCCACTTACCTAGGTGCGCTGGCGTTATACAGACTTGGTGCGTTGACGATGCTTCTTCGCAGTTGGTTCTTGTGACGTCAGGCCATATTAGGCGCACAGCCTGGGTAGAGAGGTGTGCACCGGAAGGCTAAGACGGCATTGATTGCCGTGGTGACAGGCGGAATGTATGATTGGTGATGAGAGCATGCTGATGTGGCATTCGGCTGAGGTGGCACTGCATTRCGYTGTGAGTGGTACCGAGGCCAAGACCGGTCATCAAATGCACACTCAGCTCAATTGGTGAGAAATCTGTGGTTGGGGGCAGCTATCTCCAGGTACGTTGTTCCCTTACCTTATCTACTCTCTCAATCTCTTCTTACCGTGAGAAAGTGAGTCCAACTTGAGAGTCCTCTCTTTTGGTGAGGTGTCTTGAGCGCGCTACCTTGAGAGACGGCAATCTTCCCGGAAGCATCTGGAAGGAGAAAGGGCGGTGCCTCTGAAGGGCCCTGGTCGAAGCACTGGGTCACGGTCACCATGCCAACCCAATGGGAGTAGGTCACGCATGCGATGGCTGCTGTCCATTTTGGCACTTTGCTGCGCTGATAGAAGTCCTGCCGGGTGTGCCAGCCCATATGAGACGCTTACCAGACCATCTATAAACATTTCTGGTTGGGGACTCAATGCTGACTCTGGCTGTGATCGTCGTCCTATCTGCGACGTTAAATAATTCCTGCGGAGATGGGGGCTCTCCTTAAAATCCTCCTGATCAGCCAGATCACATTGGGCAGTAAGGATCGTTCCGTACGAGGGTAAATAAGAGTGGATGGGCTGGCTTGCTCGGCAATGACTTGGGCACAGGGGTGCGCCGACATTGCACATTGCACACGAAGACACCGCTGCTCAGTGATGCTTACCGGTATGTTGGATTGAGGGGAAGGGAAGGTTCTAATTGATGCTCAACAGGAAACACAACTATACCCACTATTCATACATCTGCGACATGGTCTTCTTTTATCTTTGATTAGTTGGTGGACAGACTGCTAACACCTCACAGACAGATTACAGTAGGACTGTTGTATACTACCATAGCCAGTTCTATCTAATGTTGTTGTAAGTGAACCAATCAAGATACATCTAGACTATGTTTACAATCTGTTGTGAATGCTGTAGATTTTCATTTGATCGGTCAAGTAGGGGACCTGCCGGACACAACTACTAATAGAAAATTAGGAGCCGGTCAGACACATGCTGTGGTAGGGCTCCACTAGGGGGTTCTAGTGCAGATAATGTTTGCCTAATTGATGAACGGGTCAGACGTCGATGAGGGAACAATTGACGATGCAAGACTGACACGTTCGAGATCACGTAGGATCCCGCACGTGTTTCAGACCCTACAACCTGGAGACGAAGGATGGCTTCGTGCCAAACGCAGAGCCCGTGCACTAGCAGCAGCTAGGGAAACAGCGAACGCCGTACCTAGGGAACAGGCTGCAGCAGCAGCCAAGGCAGTAGCCATGTCTTCTGCAGCAGCATCCTCGGTTGCGTCCTCGTCTGGGACCAATGGGACCATGTTGGGAATGCCCACAGGGTCCATGGGTACTTCCAATTCAGTAGGTTCTCGGCAGTCTACAAGTCAAATGGCGGGCTCGCAGTTCAGCCCGTTGACCCCACGCGAAAGGGAGCTTAGAGAGCTCCAACAGGTCGAAAGGATCCGTGAACGATTAGAGAGGGAACCGAAGCAAGCAACTGATAGAGAAAGAGAAATTAAAAATAGAACAGCCAGGCTTGACACGTTAGAGGGAGACAAAGCTGAGTTAGAGGGTATGGATAAGTCAGGACTGTATGACTCAATAGAAATATTGAAGAACCATATGTTGTCGTTGCATGCGCACGTGGACAGCCGATTGGACTTTATGCAGAACACCCTAGACCAGATCCTGGACATTTTGCAAAGGCCAGGATTTAGGCCACCAGCACAGTCGTCGTTGCCGTTAACGGCGATGTCTGGCCCCTTTCCCGTACAAGCTGGCACACAACCAAGTGGCACATCTGCAGCAGTCTCACAGACTGTTGCTTCTTCTTCGGGTCCAGCAGTGGGAGCTACACCACCGCAACAACCTGTTCCTCCACAGGGACAGTCGCAAGGTCTTTGGTATCATAAGACCCCTATGAAACCGCCTCTTGCCTTTTCGAGCGAGAAGAAGGACGAAGAGCTCAACACTTGGTTGAGAACAGTTCCGGTTTGGGTGAAGGCAAAGAGGACTTTGCAGGACGAGGAGGTGATTACTGTTGCATCTTACCTCGAGGGTAAGGCAGCCAAGTGGCTGGATGATGTAGTGACCCAAATGCATGGCGGACTGGGATAGAACAATTGTGTTAGACCAGTTCATGGAAATGGTAGAAGCTCGTTGGCACAATCCTCAGCAGGCACAAATGGCCACTGATGCGATAAACAGACTAGACCAACGAAAGTTCAAGTCAGTCAGGGAGCTTACGACTACCATAGAGAGCCTCATCGTCATTCCCGGTATAAACTACAACAACCAGTTCCTATTGACCACGTTTGTCGCCTCGAGTATCACTCCTTGGAGACGTTGTCTAGGAAAGCCTTAGATTTGGAGGCCACTCTAGGAAACGCTCAACCTTCTCAGAATGACACAAGGAAGAAGAAGAGTCCGCAGGAATGGATGAAGAAGGGGGCTAAATTGTTGATGGTCGAGTCCGATGGGACCCAAATACGAGCTCACAGACCTGCTGGACATTTCAGAGTACGACGGCGAGGAGACCGCTGAGGGTAGCACCCTCGCCGCAGTAGTTAAGGCTAAGGCTGGTGGCCGAGTGAAGGGCCAACCAAAGAGTCAAGGGAAGGCCGCCTCCAATCAGACCAAAGTGGCTGATTAGGTTAAGGCATGTCTTGATCAAGACGTGTGGCGGGACCGTCGAGTGTGTGGTGCTGCATTAACTGCGGGGAATACGGACACTCGCAGTACAAGTGCCAGAACGCAAAGGTCACGCAAACGATAACTCCTAAGATGGGGGCACCTTATTCCCAGGCTTGTAGCTCGGGAAACACGTGAGGCCGGTGGAAGTTTTAGCTGCTTCTACTCAGGGTGAAGTGGGCCAGATACCCTCCCCACTTCATGAGATGGCCATAGCTAATGACTCTTTAGTCACCCCGCAGACTCATCCGGACCAAACTATGCTTTGTACGTTGGATGTGTCTGAAGCCTTAGAAGATTTGGAAAGTGAGTGGTCAAACAAGGACCCTCGCGAATCTTGGGTGGCACTAAAGAAAGGTCCTAGAGGGGAACATTTCGTGGTGGAAGTGGATGTAGGAGGCCGCAAATGTGGTGCCTTCGTAGACATCGGATCCACGCGGAATTTTATATAAGTCGCGACTGCTTGGAAAGGTTGCACCTACAGGACCGGGTACGGCACCTTAGTAGACCAATAGCATCTACTTTGGCCAACAAGGAGTGCATGATTGTCACAGACTATATCCCGAACGTAGTCTGTACCTTCTCCTATGGAGGAGGGGAACTGAATCATAAGATTTCGTTCCTGGTTAGCGACGACTTGCCGTTTGACATGTTATTAGGCATGTACTACCTTGAGGTTGCTAAGCCCCTGTTCGACTGGAACAAGAAGGTGCTAAAACATAAGTTGCCTGATGGCAGAACAGTCAGATTGACTAAGTTCAAAGCCAGTAGCATTATAGATACCTATGGCTGCTTGTGTGCATCAGCGTTCTATAACTATTACAAACAGAACCAAAAGGAGGGTATGTACCTAGTGTATGTCTCTGAAAAAGGGGAGGCCGTTAAAACACCCCCAGAGATAGAACTCGTCGTTGCTAAGTTCCCTGATCTGTTCGAAGAGCCTACAGGAGTTGCAGAAAGGGAAGTTGTCCACGCTATAGAAATCATTCCAGGGAGTAAAACCCCAAAAGGAAGGATCTATAGGTTGGCTCCCGCCGAGTTAGATGAACTTCGGTGACGATTGAAAGAGCTGACAGAGAAGGGATGGATCCGGCCTAGTACTTCCCCTTACGGATCTCCAGTACTATTTGTACCAAAGAAGGGGGGTACATTGAGGATGTGCATTGACTATAGAGGCCTCAATGCCATCACAGTGAAGAACGCAGAGCCTCTACCTCGCATAGACGACGTACTGGATAGGGTGCAGGGATGCAAGCACTATAGCAAGATAGACTTGAAATCCGGCTATCATCAGATCGCTATAAGACCTGAGGACCAACACAAGACAGCTTTTCAGATCGATGCCCTTTGGTCTTTGCAATGCGCCGGGAACATTCCAGCACGCCATGAATCGGATCTTCCATGACCATTTAGATAAGTTTGTCGTGGTTTACCTTGACGACATTCTGATCTTTAGTAAGTCTGCCGAGGAGCATGCACAACACGTTGAGATTGTACTTTCACTCCTGCGACAACACAAGTATAAGGTCAACCTAGAGAAGTGTGAGTTTGGGCGCACTAAGATATTATACTTGGGTCATGAAGTATCCGCGGAAGGGATTAGGCCGGAAGATGCGAAGGTGGCTAGTATAAGGGACTGGCCACGACCTCAGACTGTTACTGAGGTCAGATCTTTCCTAGGAATGTGTGGCTTCTATAGGAACTTCGTAAAGAACTATTCTACTGTCGCCTCTTCTTTGACAGATCTAACTCGACTTGACACGCCATGGGACTGGAGTGATGAGTGCGAGGCTGCTTTCAAACGATTGAAGCATGCACTCATGAATCATGAGGTTCTTATTGTTCCCGATCCTCAAAAGCCATTCATAGTGACCACTGACGCAAGCCAATATAGCATTGGCGCAGTGCTGGCTCAGCAGGATGGGAAGAAGTTGAGACCGATTGAGTACATGAGTAAGAAGATGTCATCTCAGAAACTGGCAAAGTCCACCTATGAAAGGGAACTCTATGCTCTCTACAAGGCACTTGTCCATTGGAGACATTTTTTGTTGGGACGGTTCTTCTATTTGAGGACTGACCATCAGACACTCAAATGGATCAAGACTCAACCGACTCTTTCTAATGCACTCAAGCGATGGATTGAGGTCATAGATCAATATGACTTCAAGCTTGAGTATCTGAAGGGAGAGTACAACAAGGTTGCAGATGCGCTATCACGCAGGGCAAACTACCTAGGGGCGCTAGTTTCTAACTTTGGTGTATCGGAAGAAGTAACTCAATCATTGGTGGGGGCACATCATGCGCAAACTTCAGGCAAAAGACAAGGCCACGAAAAGTGAGTTTGTGATGGTGGACGGGCTTCTCTATCTTGAGAAGGCCGGAGTTAAAAGGTTAGTAGTTCCATCTAGTGAACGTTTGCGTAGTTTGTTTTTAGGAGAATGTCATGACGCAACCGGGCACTTTGGTTACAAAAAGACGAGTGTTAATCCAGTACAGCGATTTTGGTGGCCTGGAATGCTAGATGACGCAAAGAAGTATGTAGAGACATGTCAGGTCTGTCAGCGGGACAAGCCGCGAACTCAAGCACCGCTTGGGTTGCTGAAGCCCTTACCTATCCCCGCTGGTCCAGGACAGAGTGTTTCCATGGATTTCATGGACACCCTGGTGACCAGCAAGAGTGGCAAGAGGCACATCTTCATCATCATCGATCGATTCACCAAGTACGCTAGACTAGTTGCCATGCCAGAGACCGCAAGGACTGACCACGTCATCAAGTTGTTTATGGACAACTAGGTGCGTGATTTTGGACTCCCAAAGTCAATCGTTAGTGACAGAGATGTCCGATTCACAAGTGAGTTGTGGAAGAAGATTGTGGAACAGATGGGCAGTCAACTTCAGATGACTTCAGGGAATCGACAGGCCGAGCAAATGAACAGAGTTGTACATCACTTGTTGAGGCATTACATCAAGCCCAGCCAGGATGATTGGGATGAGAAGTTGCCTCTCATCGCCAGCCTGAACAACAATGCTGTACACAGCAGTACCGGCGTCAGTCCTAATCAGCTACACTTGGGATGGAAGCCTAGATCAGCTCTAGACTTCCTCCTACCTGAAAACCGATCCTCTGCAACTCCAGGCACACTTGAGAATGGTGTGCAGTATGATAAGTTGCTGCAGCAAGCTGTCGAGGACATCAAGAAAGCTCGGCAAGCAATAATTGCTTTTGAGAACAAGCATCGACGACAGTCCTCATTTCAGGTAGGGGAACGTGTCTGGGTAAAGGATAGTGAGCTAGGACAGGAATTCAACATCTCTCGAAAACTAATGCCTCAGTATTTTGGTCCCTGGGAAGTCCTAGATATAGTGGGAGATGAGATGGATGGTCCTACCTATGTTATCCGTATCCCTGGACACCTACGCACTTACCCTGTCTTTCATGCCTCAAAGCTTGCACCTTTCGCTGAGACGGATCAATTCCCTTCAAGGAGATCGATGCTGCCCCCAACCATGGATGGTCAAGTGGACATCAACGACATTGTGGATCACAGAGATCTGCCTGTTCAGAAGCCATTGGGTAGAGCAAGACCTCCTAAACCCAAGAGAGAATATCGCATCAGATTCAGGCATCATACGGATCCAAAAGAATACCGGTGGTTCACCAGAGAGGAACTGATTGACACAGCTCCTCAGGTGGTGGCAGATTATGAACGGAAGCTAAAAGGGAAGGCTCCTGCGAAGTAAGCATCTCAGCGGACTTTCGAAGCTAAGGGGGATGGAATGTGAGGATTGAGCCCTCAAGAAGGGGCCTTGCCATGATGTACATGTTCTGGGCTAAGGCCCCAGCAAGCCTCGTGCCCGCCCTAAGTGAAGGCGGGCCAGCAAATCAACAAGAGCCCTCTGBGCAAACATTTCACGAAGTGGGGTCCATACAGTTGCAGCACGCCAGTTGGTTGGAGTGCACCGAGTCTCGGATCTCTGCAAATGTGGAAATCCCAGGGCCCCTGAGTTGGTTAGGCCCTGGGCACATAAACGTTAGGCCGACAATGCATGCTGGATATAGAGGCCGAAAATGCCAATGGTAAATCGGCCCACTATCTGAATCTGGCCGCAGGCCTTGATGAAAGAGGCGCAACTGCATCTCCCGGGCCCCAACTGCATCGGGCCTGGGTTCAGGTACTGGGGCCCAGACGCAGGCTGAAGGGAGGCCATCCACACACAACACTGGCATATACGCAAGCAAGGCGAGTGGGCAAGGATCTTGGCCATTGCGGGCAATGCCGGCACGCTGCGCTAATGCGAGCTGCTGCGCTGCGCTAGGCTGAGGTGCGAGACAGGCAGGCGCTAGGCGGTAGGGCGCTGCCTGTACATAGGGCGCTGGCAGCCATAGCCGGGCTGCCTGAGGGCGCATGGGAGGTGAGGGCGAAGGTGGTTCTTCGGAGGTGAAGGGCGCTGTGTGGGATAACAAGGGCGAGTGTGGGTGAAGAAGGAGACGTACCTGGTGGAGGAGGGAGGTCGACATTGGTGTTGACATCATCACTCGCTGGTCGTCAAGTTGTCTGGTTGCTTTCATACTGTAGTTGTAGTGATAGGCTGTAGAGTAGGTAGGGCGCCTGKCGCYATTSAAGAGAGAGAGCTACRTTGGGTTATGYTGTTGGTGTTGCCCTGTTGGGCTTGGACATTGACTCACGATTCTTCTGTATCGTTCTCAAATGGATGGTTACTCGGTTCCATTGTGCTATCTGCTCTTGCTTTGACTACTTGGACTTCAGTGTGATTTTGCAATCTGGATTTCTGTGCTCCGTCCATATTCATGTTCCTTGCAAAATTGAGAGAAGAAAAAAAAAACAAAAAAAACTCTTGAAGTTACCAGTGAAATTGAGAGAAGGAACCAAAAAAAAAAAAAAGAGAGGGTCGAGTAAGTGGAAAATTCCGAAGAAATGGCTCTTTCATTCATTTTTCATCTTAAAGTGTCCAGGACACCTCCTACAAACGTTTCCACATTGAATTTCGTTGTAATTATAGAATTTTACTGGAAAAAAATTGAAGAGAGGGTTGTTTTTTTTGTCCTGAAGTGTCCAGGACACTTCCTCGAAACGTTTTCACATTTGTTGCCATTCATCTCCTAAGACTTGTCCGGGGAGGGGAAAAAAAAAAAAAAAAAAAAAAAAAAAGATCAACGTGGAACAACGGCAGACCACAGTCAGAAGATCAACGTGGAACAACGGAGGACCACAGTTTCTAAAACTTTTTTTTTTTTTTTTTTTTTGGGGGTGATCACAACTGTCTATATTCTTCTCTCAACTTCTGTTTTTGGTTACCTTCCACTACCTACTCCTAAGACTATCTAGAGGGGACCCCTGCAAGCATAGTTTTCCTCTCTTTGTGAAGGGGGGATTTCATGTTGCCCCTTGCCCCTAATGGTTAGGGTATAGGGTTGGGGCCGCAAGTGGGGGTCTGGCTAACACAAAGACCGAGACCTGCCAGTAGCTGTGCCTCCCTTTCTCATCGTCCCCCACCCTTCATCGAGTAGCAGCAGAGGCTATGGCCAACACTCTCCCACACRCMMCRCACAACCCACTCGCGCTCACACTCACACCCGTGTTGGTCATAGACCCCGCTAATACCGATCAGGGGTATCCAGAGGACTATCACAGTCCGTTGGCACTAAGAGTTCTCAAAACGAGAACTCTACCCGGTTTCCAGCAGGTGATGCTCCCCACCAATAGATGGAGCGGATTCTCTTAAAAAAAAAAAAAAAAAAAAAAAGAGACTCTAAGGTTCTCATTTTACACATAGTATTAAAAAAACAAACTTCCGTCCTTCGGGACATCCGTTAAAATTGGAACGATGCAGAGAGAGAAGATTAGCATGGCCCCTGCGCTTTCAAGGATGACACGCATAAATCGAGAAAAAAACAAACTTCTCATCGTACGGTTCCTAGGACGCACCCTAGAAACGATTTCGCATTCATCCTCGTTTGTTTTCTAGGACTGGGAGGCAGGAGGCTGTCAAACGACGAGATCAGTGTGTCTCCGGCAAACTGACTTAGCCTGACTTGCCAATCACACACACACCCACACACAAAGCACGCACACGCACACGCACACACAAAGCACGCACACCCACGCATGCACTAACATCCTCAAGCGCGAGCGCGCACACACACACGCACACTCGTACGCTAGGACACACACACACACACAGGCGGTGCATGTGCGTCCATGTCCGTGCATTTACGTGCACGTGCATGCGTGTGCTTGCATATCCGTGCACGTGCGTACATTTGCATGCACGTCCGTACATGTTCGTGCATTTTCGTGCATGTTCGTTCGTGCATGTGCGTGGGAGTGTGTGGGTGTGCGAAAGGACGAGCGTACTCGTGGCTTGCATGTGTGTGTGTGTGTACGATGAGCAGCCTGGCGATATCTGTTCCGTATTCCATGTGATATATCTTCCGTGCCGTTGAAGAAAGTTGTGCAACCAAAAAGAACTGCTAAACTATGAGGAGGGGGGGCGCGAGAAACACGAATAGGATACTGTTTTTGGCGGAAATCCGATAAGACCTGACTATCTCGGTTAGCACATAGCCGAAATCGCCACAAACGATCACTAAAGGAACTGCAGCAACAGCAAAAAAAAACAAGGTACACTACTGAACCGCAATCGTTCTCGGAATTCTTATCTGGATGAACCGATTTGCATCGACCTTTTTAATCATTCGGATCAAAGGCTAAGTTTACATATCTGGCTGGGTCTAGCTGAATTTAAATCTGTCGATCAATCTGAATTTCGAGCAACGGATCTAGAGAGATCGACGGCCGAATCTAGAGCAACGGATCTGGAGAGATCGATCGAGGGACGAATCTGCTGGATTTATCGATCTGGTCTCGGATAAAACTATCGGTCTGGATTTACCAATCAACGGGACACGCGGTTAACGGCGGGCCGAAGATTAGCTGTTCTCGCCGACAGTTTCGGTGCAAAATTCAGCGAAAATTTCAAAAAGACAGAAACTATATGAGCCCATAGTGCAAACATTAAAAAAAAAAAAAAAAAAAAAAAAAAAAAAAAAAAAAAAAAAAAAAAAAAAAAAAAAAAAAAATATAAAACACTAACACAAAAGAAAACTAATCGTTAAACGAAAGCAATCAAAGAATAAACTTTTCATCCAATTTTTTCATTAATGATCCAGATATGTCAAAACTGGACGCGCATTACATAATACATACCCTAAAGCACCTACATATCACACCAAAAAAAANAAAAAAAAAAAAAAAAAAAAAAAAAAATCAGGGAAAAATGCTAAAGCACCTATATATCACACTAAAAAAAAAATAAAAAAAAATCAGGGCAAAATGACAGTTTCAGTGCAAAATTCGGCGCAACAAAAAAACACCCCCAGTCAACCACCTGTGATCATCGATAGATTCTGTTTGGCTCGAAGCGATCAATCTGGATCTGGATCTGGAAGCCGATCCGTCGATCCATGGAAAGGCGTCAATCACCACAAAAAAGTGAAAGCAAATCAATCAATGGAATCCCACATCGGAAAAATCATGCTTACATGCTCAGTACACAACCACATGCAAAAACTTCAACACTACCTTCTTCCCCCCGAATAGAACGTACGGTCATTTCTGCTGCATCTGGACTGAAAGGTGAGCCGAATACGGCTAAAAGCCCCGTACTACGTTCTATTCGGGGGAAGACGGTAACACGACATCCGGTGGGAAATGGCATCCCGACCCCGACCGGTTTCAACGGCCGCCACGTCGTCTGATCATCAGGTTTGCAAACCCACCGATCATTGCCCATTACCCACATATGCATATAGCTCTGGCTCTTCTCTGCAGACGATCAAAGCTGTCTATCTGGATCAACGAACGATTCGCTCAACGGATCAATAACTCGATCCAGATCAATGATTCGATCCTTTGATCTGCGGATCAATGATTCGATCCTTCGATCTGCGGATCAATGATTCGATCCTTTGATCTACGGATCAATGATTCGATCTTTTGATCGATGGATGATTCCGTCGATCCAAATCTATCCATCGATCTGTCTGGATTGGGCGATGGAGCCGGATGTGCATCTGCATGAATCAATCTGGGTTTTTAATGAACCCATTAGACCCCTCGATTGATATGAACCGATCAACGGATCTGGTGCTTGAATCTGAACGGATCCATGTGGCCCGATGTATCTAGATGCACTCGTTTTGAGGGAATAACACAGAAAAAATAGGGCACCGTGGAATCATACTTTGCCACGAATAAGCCATTCAAAGCGTACCTGCCGCTACATTGCGGCCAAGTGCACGGCCTGCACCTGGCTGTCTGCTGGCCGAGGAAAGCGGGCTAGTGTGCCATAATGATTATCTTTATTTCACTGGCCGAGGAGAAATGTATCCATCCTCCTTGATTGATCTAGGATCCACCAATAAATCCGATCGGATCTGTTGATTGGATCTATCTGACGATTGAGGATCTATTCCAATATGATCTCGATGGACTGAGAATCGTACGCTCGTACGCTCGCACGCACACACACACACACACACACACACACACACGTGTACACACACACACACATGCACGCAACTCGTGCGCTTGTGCGCTCGCACACCCACACACTCACACACACATGCACGAACATGAACGGACGTGCACATGCACGCACATGCATGCACATGCACGCACATGCACGCACATACATGGACATGGAGGCACGTGGACGCGCAGGCACGGACATGCACACACTCTCGTCATCGAGCACGAGGGAAAGCATGGCGATATCTGCTCACTATAGCATGTGAGATATCTTTCGTGCCTTTGAAGAAGGTGGTGCAAGCAACGACAACAGTTTCCCAAAACTGCTAAACTATATTCCGTACTTCTC